TCTTCAATAGTAATGGAATTACCTGGGCCAGAACCTGCGGCTGCCCAAAATAAAGACTGCCTCTCCCCCTCATCCCTGAACTTGGATGGACAGATGACTCGGTTCTGTCTAATGCCACATATGCAAAGGTGTCATGTGGGTGGTGGCTTCCAGGAACCTTGCTCTCTTCTCTGCCCCTTTCTCCAGCCCTGCTGCCTAAAATGAGGGTGCCCCCGGCATTGACCCCGAGACTGAGGCCACACGGAACAGAGCAACAAGATGGTAGGAGCCTGGGTCCCTACCCTGTGGGGCACATGTCAGCCCTGGACCACTGCCTGAACTTAACATGACATGTTCTTCCGTTTTGTTTTCTGTCGCTTGCAGCTGAGCCTGGTTCTCACTGATAGAACCCTCCAACATTTGCCTGGAAACCTGTCAGGACAGAGAACGGGAAGGGAGCCTAACCCTTGAAGAAGCTGTGAAGACATTTTCATTGACTGTGGCCTGGGTCATGTTTTACGTTTTGAGGAAAGGGCTCTCTCTTGGAAATGAACAGCCTAAAGGCCCTTGTCTTAAAGGAGAGAGTGTGGACCCCTGAGCGGCTGGGTGCGAACGTCAGTGGGGACTCACCCAGGCTGCTGACTTCACTAAACGGCACTTGTTTTTGTTCGAGTTCTGGTTAAGAACTTGCACGGATCCGAGTGGCCTGCCTCAACCCCAGTTTCCCCTTCATCCCTGTTGTTTCTAGGCGCCACATGGGAGGACGCGGGTTCTCCAGGGACACATGTACCACCTCGGAGCAGAGGCCTGCGTGTGCCTCAGAGTGAGGCTGCTCCCCACGGGCGCCCTCTCGTGGAGATGCGCTGCTGTGTCTTTTGCAAATATTTTCTCCGTCTGTGGCCCGTCTTCTTCTCTTGACAGTTAATGTATTTTTAACTTCACAAAACCCAGAAAGTAGAACAAATCACCAAGCAGCATTTTGGAGGAGCCAAGTTCCCAGGATACAGCAGTTAAAGAAGAAGAAGGAGAAGGAGAAGGAGAAGGAGAAAGAAGAAGAAAGAAGGAGGACTCGAAGGCAGGGCTGGGTGGGCTGGGCAGACCCGCTCAGAACCAGGCCGCTGCCCGCAGGAAGAGCCGTGGGCGCCCGCTGTCCCTGGCACCGAGGCCTGGAGCTGCCGCTGCGATGGGCAGAGGCGTGTGGGGAGGGCTCAGTGCTGGGGCGTCGCCCTCATGAGAGTCGAGCCCCAAGCTGTGGGTCCTTGGAACTCAGACCTGTTGGTACTCATATGGGACAGGGCCTGGGACTCTGTATTCTGAAGCCATGCCCCCCCCTCCCACACACACCTGTGAACCCATCAGGCAAACACGGGAGAAACTACGCCTCCAGGGCGGCCGCCTACTGGACTCCATTTCCCCACCGAGGAGGGTCCAGACGTCGTCTCCAGGTCCCCGCGTGGGAGGCTCTGGGGCGGCCCCCATAGCACAGGTCCCGCGGAGCCACCCTGCCCCACCTCCCGCCATCACAGGCAATCCGTTCAGCAAACACGCAAAGGGAACGTAATTATTTTATTTCATTTAAAATAGCAGGACTTTGGCGTCAACCTAAATGGTCAGGGTTTTCATTACAGTGTTGCATGTGCAAAGAAACCTCACGCTATGTTATTATGCCATAAAAGGGAAGTTTGTAAAAATATTTCTTCTTGTCGTGAACATGTGGGGAGCTCTGCTTGTAGCCTCAGTCCGGGCCAAATAATAATCTTTATTAACAAGTCAAACCAACCAAACAAAACAACTCTGAAGCAAAAAGAGGCAAAAATGCCTGGTAAACGTGATTAAAAGACCAGGGATCAGCCCTGGCCGGTGCGGCTCAGTGGGTGGGAGCACCATCCCGTGCGCCTAAGGGTGGCGGGTTTGATTCCTGGTCAGAGCACAGACCCGTTTTGCGGGTTCAACCCCCCAATCAGGGCGCGTGCGGAGGGCAGCCAGTTAATGTTCCTCTCTCCCTTCCTCTCTAAAAACTAATAAAAAACATATCCTCGGGTGAGGATTAAAATAGTGATAAAGACCAAGGTTCAGAGAGTGTCTGAGTCCACAGCACCTGTTCCAGCTGAGGACACACGTCTGTAACTGGGGGTGAAGGTGGATAAACATTAGGGACAGCGACGAGGAGAAAGTGTATAGGGAACACACCGCTGTGTGCTCCTGCCTCCACCTGGGGCTCTCCCCTCCCCCGCGTGACTTCATTCCCGCAGCCTCACACCCTCCAGCCCCGAACACCCACCAGCTGTTGTTTCCCAGGTTGGCCCCAGGCCCAGGCCCAGACCCAGGGACAAGCCACTCGCCTGCCCACAGTCTCCACCACTCCCAGCAGCACCTTCACCAGCTGCAGCCACAGGCGGGCCGCAGGGATGGAGGTCCCAGGTGCAGCTGCTCGGAGGTGTTTCCGGAGGCGAACAGCACGGCAGGGCTCCGGACACGTGGGGTGAGAACTTGGGGACGCGCAGGGCACCCAGCCATGTCTCCGGCGAGCCCCCGGCTCCCCCTGCCGGCCGTTTCTGACTGCAGCCTGTCTGGGGAAACGCCCAGCTGAGCCCGGGACTGGGGGTGGGGGTGGGGGGGGCCTTCTGAGCAGGACTTGTCCCAGCAACTTTCCTCGTGGCCCATCCTCAGCCTCAGCTGCTCCCTGAACTTCTGCTCCATCCCAGAAGCTAACGTGAGGGTCTTGACGGGCTCTGGCGTGACCTGCTGCCACAGCTTCAGGGGCCCCCGGACTCCCCGACCCGGCCGTTTCTGTAAGGGGATTGCCCCTCGGATCCTACGGGGATGCCCACCTCTTGCTGATTTTCATAACGAAACTTTAAAGGCGACCGAAAGGGAGCACTTTGGACTAGTTCTGCAGACGGCCATGCCTTCAGGTTCTCTTCCTGTTACAGACGTTGCTTTTCGGAGTGAAACAGGAACCCACAGTGTGCGTGGCTTTGGTTTTAATCCAGAACCGTTTCATAGGCTCCGAAAATCATGTTCATGCGGCACAGCCCTCACGGAGCCCCAGGGAGTAACACCTGCGAATAACGTGGTACTGGCCCAACTAAGGCTCCAGCCCCCACCAAGGCTCCAGCCCCCCCCCCAAGGCTCCAGACCCCCATATAAGG